AACAATTTGAGTGATGGTGATTGAATAACAATAGCTATGCAATGATGTTTGGATGATGATGGAGCTGGTGGGAGTTGAACCTCATGCAAAGCTGTAAAATTTTTCATATCTCTAAATTCTATCCAAACTTCAGCCTCAATGCTTTTTATGGTGAACAAACTTGAACATCATATCTCTAAATTCGTCTCTCTAAAGTTTTAATCAGCACCTAGCTCTCTTCCCAGTTGGTAGAGCCTTCGCGTCCTCTAGATCTCTCCTCGTCAACTCAAGATCTCAAAATGTGGTCGTTTGAGCTTCCTACAAGGAAAAGATATAATTTGGAACTGTCTATTATAATGTGTATTAAACACAAAATGCCTATTGTAACACCATACTTATTTAAAAATATGTCACTGTAAAATTTTCCTACAGGAGAGTTTCGTTACGTGCGTTGGGGGTGCAGGGGCAACGCCCCGTGGTATGGTACATGAGTAATTTTTTAATTACATATTGTACGTCTGGGTTATATATGTATATGTTGTATCGTTTGTACTTCTTTTCTGAGATTGAAGGAAAGTCATCGCTCTGCTCCCGAGAACGTATGCATCTTTGTCAAATCTCGTTAAATCTCGGGGAGTTCTTCTGGATTTTTTCGACATTAATAGCGTCTGAATATTTCTTATCATATAAAAAAAATATCATTATTCGTCTTTTAATTAGCATCATCAAAATTCACAGCGACTTAATATTTTCTTATCATATTTTCCACATATCAAACTAGAAATACATTTTATAATTTCATCATTTTTAATTTCTTGATTTTCTTAAAATTATTTCAATTAAATTTGGCCTCATAATTTTTTTTCCTTTTTTATTTACTGCTTAAATTTTGGTTTATATTCTAAAAAATAAAATAAATAAAAAATAGCCACAAAGCAAAATGCATGTGCTTGCGCGGCTCGTTGGTAATGATCCAATCTCAGGAAGTGCTTATCGCGGGTGCGAGGCATTGCTCGGGAGAAGGGGAGAAGAAGAT